TGGGTCTTGTACCCTGTCCCAAGCCCTTAAGGCTGCTGTAGTACACATGGAGAGTGTGTTTTCATCCAAATTAGCTTGTTCCTGAGGGTCGGAAAAGAGCCCTTCACCTACAATTTTGTCTAGGGAAATATCAATTCCCTTCACTTTTTCCTGCTGTTCTAAAAGTCTAGCCTCTTGCCTGAATAAGCATTTCCATTTCAGTTGCGGTCCACTCTCAAGTACTGCAGAGCTCAGCTGAAGCCAGTCTGAGGGGGTTGCTCTGCTTGTTGTGGCCCAAGATTTTAGCATCTCTTTAACAAAAGAGGCATGCATCCCAAAAGTCATGACTGCCTGTTTAATTTCTTTGAGATCATTCGTATGGACAGGCTCCCGTGTATCTTCCTAGATGACCCTAGGGTTTCTGGAACCAATCACCTTCTCTGTTGTTATTACTGGAAAGGCAGGTAGAGCTGTAGGTAGAGTTTTGTGGAAATTGTCCCCGAGGGATTTACCCACAGATGTAGTTAAAATTTGCCTTTCTATCCTTTGCTCTTCTTCATCAGAATTTAGAAATTCCTCAATCTTTTCAATTCTATTCACCATTGCCTTCTGCAATGTCTGAATTTCCTGTCCAGAATTATGTTCCAAAGCCTTCATTGAGTATTCTAAAGTATGAAGTTTGTCCATTAGAGATAACTTCTCATCTTTGGACATAATTTTTATGGCATAAACCATGCCTTCTTGTATTGACAATCTTTCCGCCAATCTTTCATAAGCTTTAGACAAAATTCGATTGTCACATTCAGCAGTTTTGATCCTCTCAGTTAATGTTTCAGTTCCTACAGAAAGGGACTGCTGGAACTTACGATCTAATTCAGCTGTTCCTTCTTCCATAGTAATGAATTTCTCCTTAACATCAGCCTGTACCTTTTCTAAATTTTGCTCAGTTGACCGAGTCATGTTAAACAAAGATCTGTTCTCTTCCTGGAGAACTTCAAACTGATTCTTGAGAAGATTGCTGTCATTCTCAATTGTTTTTAAACGTTCAACCTCTGCCTTAAGAATCCTGGATTCGTCTCGTAAAGACTTTATCATATTTCTATTATCAAACCACATAGTACCAAGGAAAACTGCGAATCCCAGAAAGATCCATAGATGTGGGATGACAGACACCTCCTGTAAAATCTCCCACATGGTACACTCAAAAATTCTGTTAAAGTCTCGAATGGTAATGTTTTCAGACATTTTATTTATAAAAGAAAAAAATTTCTTTTTACCTGCCAGTGGTGGCGAAAGAGTCCACTTGAGTCCACCTGGCCGAAGTTTGAAACACTTGGCTCAAAACCGAAAGTTGGAGCGGACACCAGACTGATAAATAGCAAGTGGGGGGGAAGGCCAGGAAGCCCGGCAGAGCCAAGGCAGAACAAAGCCACCCACAGGGAGGGGACACAGAGCAGCGCTGTCGGGCAGGGTAGGACAGATTCCAAACTGCCGGGGCTAAGTCTCCCGTCCCGTTTGCCCACTTTCTGGCAGGCGCCAGGAAAAATAGAGTAGCTGTAGATGCTCAGTGACTCAGAATCTCAGCTGCTTCTGCCGCTGTAAGTTGGGAAGAAGCGAACTGGCAAGGAGCAGTGCTGAGAGAGTACAATCTGAGAGAAGAGAGAGGCCTCTGGAGTGGGGGGTGCCACTGGCTCCCAGCGGTCGCCCCCAGGAGGCTCTGATTCGGGGCGGTTATCCACAAAGCCTCACTGGGTGCCAAGATGTAGCGGCGTAAATGAATGCAGACAGATTGTAAAAAATATATATAGCTATAATGGGGGAAATAGACTTAAAGTACCACTGTTCCCACGGAGAACAGGAAGCAGAAGGGGCGGCTGGGTGCATGCCCAGCAGATTTATAGGTAAACATTAGCCCGAGGCAAACACGCCCCCTAAGGCTGGGCTTAACCCTACACTATAAAACTTATTTAACCATTTCAACACGTTCTACTTTTTGTTCCTATAAGATACAAATTTTTAAGTTTAAATACATATCAAACATGTATGTTCAGCATCTATTGTTTACGACTTCACTGTACAGGAAATGTGCATGGTGGAAGATCGTAAATGCTTTCTCCACAGAGGAATAATGGTGACTCTGAGGGTGACTGATGGGATTTACCTTGATCGTAGTAGTCGTGTCACAATGGTTTACACACCTGGAAACCCAAAAGCATACAATTTTAATTTTGAGATTTTTTATTTTTGAGAAAGCTGGGGGGGGGATACATCGACACAGCTGTGAGAACCCAGGGCTCAAAACCCACAAGCGCTGAGCCCTTAGAAGTGGCAACACTTAAACTGGTCATGCCCTAGTTCACAGGCTAGGAGAAGAGAGTGCTCTTGGAGAGAGTACAGAGAGTCACTTGTGACTGGGGTGGGCAGTGGCAAGTATCTTCTCCCCGGAAGTCGGGACTCTGTAGTTCTGTAGAGTGGGAGGCAGGACACAGGGCCACCAAAGCCTAGAACTGTGTGTCTCAACCTTCCTTATGTTGTAATCCCTTAGTACAGTTCCTCACCTGGTGGTGACCCCAACCATACAATTATTTTCTACTTCATAACTCCAAGTTTGCTGCTGTTATGAATCATAAGGTAAACATGTGGTATGTAGAATGTTTGCTATGCAACCTCCAAGGGATCGAGACGCACAGGTTGAGGACTGCTGACCTAAAAGGACCATGCTAGGTGATTGTGGCAAGAGCTGAGATCAACAGCAGAGGTACGTCATTTGGAAAACAAAATGTAGTGCTGAGTATCCCAGTGAGCCCTGTGTGGGCAGTGGACAGCTAGTTCTGTGGTCACGATTAGTCAGCTTGGGAGGTGTTGGGCAGGATGGGTCTCTGTCTGGTCGGAGGGACAGATGTGAAGGCTTCTTATGCATCTGTCCAGCTGCCTTTATCCCACCTCTGTTTCTGCGTTCTAGATCAGCTACTGAAAGGAACCAAATATCACCAATTATTTCAATAGACATTCGTTGTTTCATTTCTGTCTCTTCTCCCTTTCTTCTCCACTCCCTTCGCACCCCCCCCCCACTCACACACATGGACATAGAGAGGTTGACAAACTCAGAAGGCATAACCTCTGGGCAGACTGCCTTTCTCTTGGGAGGTGAAATTTCTAATTCTCTTTTGGGTTGGTAGTGCCGAGCCATGTATCTGAGGTTCGGCTAGGACTGGAGAAGTTGTGACACAGAGCTCACATTCTCAGCTGAGTTTGGATCTACTTGACACAAACGAGGGTCATCTGAGAAGAGGGAACCACAGTGGAGGAAACCCTTCCATCAGACTGGTGTGCAGGTCTCCTTGATGAACACTTGCTGGCAGAGGAACCAGCCAGCTGGGGCTGTGCCATCCATGGGCAAGTGATCCTGTGCTATGTAAGCAAAGTAAAGAAAGTAGCCCGAGAAAACCACAAAAGCTCGGCAACGAGAAGCCTTTCCTATGGCCTCTGCTTCAGTTCCTGCTTTGAGTTCCTATCTGTCTTCAATCAATTCTAGGACCCTAAGACATGGGTTGAAACAGGCCACTTCTCCCCAGCTTGCTTTAAGCGTATGGGGTTAATAGAAACCACAATCACAGGACCAAAGTCAGTAGACAGAGGACCTGTGAGGGGAGATGATGCTCAGCCCATCAGACCTGCCACAGAAAGATCACTTCTAAGTCATTGATCACACTGGGATTAGCTACTTGGTGATGGTTAGTCGGTGATGTCGATCGGACTGGATTTGGAATCAACTGGGAGACACATCTCCAAGGATGTCTGGGAGGATGTTCCCAGAAACATTTATCTGTAGAGAGAATGACTGCCCGGGAGTGTGGACTGCATCATTACATGGACTGGGTTCCAGGAGTGAATAAAAATGAAAAAGCAATTGCCAGTGTCCCCTCCTCCATGCATTCTGTTTTTACCCAGTTGTGGAGTCTCGGCTGCCTGCTCCTGCCACTGTGAAATCTTCCACATTCCCCTGCAGCCTGGATTAGACCCTTTTAATCTGTGAGCTAAAATATATTCTTTCTGTGAGCTATTTTTGAAAGCAATGAAAAACATAACCAATACAAACTCCAACTATTCTCTATCTGTGGGTCCCACTCTGGCTGTCCTACAGAAGTAGAGAGAAGGGCTTGAAGCTTGAAATTCTGTTGTCTCCCTGTACACATTCTGGCCTCTGAGAACCCCCTCCTTCTCTCAGCAAGGAAGGACCCACCCCTTCACAGCAAGGAAGGACATTGGTTTCTTACAGCTGGTCCTGGTCAAGCATTTTTTTACTCCATTAGTTTGAAGCATATTGGAGATTGTCATTTGAAGGGAGATGGTATTTGTGATTTCTGTGTCCTATTTATGTCCTCCTGTAGTCAAAATACATTTTATAGGTCAGTAAAACTGCCTAAGGGTAAAGATGAGTTGTGTTTTATCCTCAATGCAGCCTTGACCTGGGATAAATGTTTCAAGACCTTTCAGGGTCGCCCTAGGAAGACAAGAAACCCTCATAAAGTGGAGAGTGACCTTGTGTAGTAGAGACAAACAAGGCTGTTTTTTGGAACCTGTCTTGTCCCAAGGAACTGTGGGTGCTTGGGTGGTGTTGTGAGCAAAAAGTCTAAAGCCCTTTTAAAGGCTCCACGTATTCCTTGTGTATGCGTCCCTCTCCCATAATCTCTGCTCAAGACTTCTCAGCTATGAAGTCTGCATAGACTGCAAGGGGAGAGGCCTGCAAACTGCTCCTCCTGGATGTATGGAAGTGTGGGTCAGAGGTGCCAGCTGTGATATAGAAACAGTTCTGAGTGAGACTGCTTTGCTACAAAGACCGGAGCAAGTATCTTTGCCTCAGAGGGGGAACCTGATGTCCTAGGAGAACTCAGAAAGACACTTGCTCTCCCCTCCAAGATATCCCACCCCCATCACCAAGACATCATCCCCAGCACATCTTAAGTTGATGTCAGTAGGAAATGTAAATAAAATATAATGAAGCCAAAACATTGTAAAGCATGACGGCCTTTATTTCAACCGCACTGAACAAGATTCTCAGGGGGGTAAGGGCCTGGGCAGCAGAACGCCATGGCCCCGTACTCGGCCTTTTTCTGCCCAGCGGCCTCTCCCGAGAAGGAAACAGAGAGACAAGTGGACCCTCACAAGCCCTGTGGGAATGGAGAGGAGGGCTGGGGTGTTCTCTAGGGGAGAGGGAGAGAGTAATTGCAACTTGTTATGATTGGTAAGAGGCAGGCTGACTCAGAGCCCCACCTGAAGAACTTGGACACACGTGCCAGGGCTCTCTGGAACCGACCCTTCCAGGGCCTTCTTGGAGGAGCAGCCTTCCCGGTTCCTCTTGGGCCATTGGATGAGTCCTCCATGTTGTGAGCAAAGACATTACCTTCCTGGAAGTATTGTTGTGGGTTTCTCACAGTCTGAAAAAGAGAGTTGAGACCTCATGTTTGCGGTCCCTCATGACTGTTGTCCATTACCTCAGGTGGGTACTGTGATGTGTATCTGCACTACTGGTTGAGGTGCTGAGGATGGAAAAGTTGAGAGCCCTGGCCTGAAGAACCCCAGTACCCCTGGAGGATGTTCCAGAGCACATGAACATGAAGCTCACCTGCCCAGGGGGTGGAAAGAAGGGAAAGGATATCATCTTCCTAGAGTGTGACGCCCCACTCAGAACATTTATCCACAGTTCTGCTGAGGTCCCCACTGTGCTGGCTGTGGAACCGAGACCTGCCCCCTGCATAGCCCTAATCTCCACCCCTCCATGGCCCTAAGCCCCATTGTTCCTGCCCATGGTTCCTCCCTGCTTCAGTTCAGTACATTCTGCTCAACCAGTAGATACATTTCTGGAGCATGACCTTCGTCCTAACTCCCGCCCCCAGAACTTTCTGTTTCTTCCTCTGCATTTCACCTTCACTCTGGCCAGCCTGAATGAAGTTCTGCAGGCTGAACTGAAAATGCCGAAGACTTCGGGTACATGGTGAGTTCACTTTGCGTGGGGTCTCCGCTGACAAACGTGCTCATGATGCCTGTCTGTGGTCGCCCTGTTTAGTTAGGACTGTGAGGTTTCTCATGGTGCTCTCTTGGTGCATGGTTCAAAGCGTTCATAAAATTCCAGAACAACGTCTGGTCATGGCGCTGTGAGGCTGGAAGGCCTGGACCCTACTTCTTCTCTCTGAGGCTTTTGCTCTGTGCAGGTTACCCGCATATCTGAGCATCTGCTTCTGGTGAATGATGGAAAGTATTTGTGCAGGACAGTCCTCAGGTCGTAGGTATTAAAGGTTAGCAGTTTACTCTTAGAATCGAGATTCACTTTGGGTTACATCTTGGAATCTGTTGGAGCCATCGATCTTTGTTTGCTTTTTCCCCTCAGGGCACCCACTTTTTCTGTCCCATTTCCTATTATCGTGGAGTCTATGTAGTGCTGTCTGTGACCTGCCTCTGATCTCACTGGAGTGTGTGTCCTGTCCTAAGGTGACTCCGTGCTGTGGTGCTTACCTCCGTGTTGGAGCATGATAGTGAAATGCTGGGGTTCAGCCATTCTCCATCTTTGTCCTCTTCCACATGTCGTTGGCCCTTTTATGTCATAAGCACTGCTATAGATCCTTGAGCGATAACTTTTCCTTCTCTTGATGATTACAGAGAGTGGAAAACTTTTGAGTGCTTTAAACAGTGAGCAGAGCATACTTTATTTTAATACCTATTAGCAAGATTTTAATAGTTTTCTCTAAACAAATGTTCCAGTGCTTGTGCCCATATTCTTCACAGATATTTTGTTTATTTTAATGTTACTGTCATTTTAAAAAATTCTCTTTTGGTGTATTTGTTTGTAGTTTATTGTTGTTTTCATACTAATTTATCTTCTAGCTTTGCCAAAACCGTTTCTAACAACCAGGTGATGACTTTTCATGGTTTCTGGAAATATTTTTAAAAATATTCTTTGAGGCTCTCTGCTCCTCCCTGTTCTAGAGACAGCCGCTTCTTTTCCTGCAGTGCCAGCCTCGTTCCAGAGACACGATGGTGAAGGTCGGAGTGAATGGATTTGGCCGTATTGGACGCCTGGTTACCAGGGCTGCCTTCACTTCTGGCAAAGTGGACGTTGTTGCCATCAATGACCCTTTCATCGACCTCAACTACATGGTCTACATGTTCCAGTATGACTCCACCCACGGCAAGTTCAAAGGCACAGTTAAGGCTGAGAATGGGAAGCTTGTCATCAACGGGAAGGCCATCACCATCTTCCAAGAGCCAGATCCCGCCAACATCAAATGGGGGGATGCCGGTGCCGAGTATGTTGTGGAGTCTACTGGTGTCTTCACCACCATGGAGAAGGCTGGGGCCCACTTGAAGGGTGGGGCCAAGAGGGTCATCATCTCCGCCCCTTCTGCCGATGCCCCCATGTTTGTGATGGGTGTGAACCATGACAAGTATGACAATTCCCTCAAGATTGTCAGCAACGCTTCCTGCACCACCAACTGCTTAGCCCCCTTGGCCAAGGTCATCCATGACAACTTTGGCATCGTGGAAGGACTCATGACAATAGTCCATGCCATCACGGCCACCCAGAAGACAGTGGATGGCCCCTCTGGGAAGCTGTGGCGAGATGGCCATGGTGCTGCCCAGAACATCATCCCTGCGTCCACTGGCGCTGCCAAGGCTGTGGGCAAAGTCATCTCAGAGCTGAACGGGAAGCTCAAGGGCATGGCCTTCCGCGTTCCTACCCCCAATGTGTCCGTCGTGGACCTGACATGCCGCCTGGAGAAAGCTGCCAAGTATGATGACATCAAGAAGGTGGTGAAGCAGGCATCCGAGGGCCCACTAAAGGGCATCCTGGGTTACACTGAGGACCAGGTCGTCTCCTGTGACTTTAACAGTGACTCCCACTCTTCCACCTTCGATGCTGGGGCTGGCATTGCTCTCAATGACAACTTTGTAAAGCTCATTTCCTGGTACGACAATGAATTCGGCTACAGCAACAGAGTGGTGGACCTCATGGCCTACATGGCCTCCAAGGAGTAAGAAGCCCGCCCTGGACCACCCATCCCAGCAAGGACACAGCAAGAGAGAGGTCCTCGGCTGCTGAGCAGTCCCTGTCCTAACTAACCCTTAACACTGAGCATCTCCGTCACAGTTTCCATCCCAGACCCCCAGAATAGCAGGAGGGGGCTTAGGGAGCCCTACTCTCTTGAATACCATCAATAAAGTTCATTGCACCCCTCAAAAAATATTCTTTGAAAATTTCACACAGTTATCACGTTTATTCCCATCCTCCACTTCTCCCAGATTGCCCCTCCCTCAAGATTCCCCCTTTTCATTTTGAATCTATGTGCCTCTGTCTACAGTTCATGCCTGACTGAACCAGCTATGGCTTAAAGAATGATGCTGGGTGCATGTGGTGAGCATCTGGAGCAACATTCTGCCACATTTCTTAGATATTGACAGGAAATTTCTGTCTTTCCCTTATCACGTGTTTTCTGTCACAATACAACCTAGACCATACATCAAGGTAAAAGTGAGAACATTTGAGGGAAGAAGGGAAAGCCAAGGGTGTGAAAAGAAGGTAATATAGAAAAAAAAAGATAGGTGTCATATGTTGTTGGATGTGAGGAATCAACCTTCCACTGTAAATGTGATAAGGGTGTGTATGCAGGACCTGGAAGTACAAGGGATCCTTTCTATATGGATGAAGGGGACTCAATGGACAGGGAACAGCAGAGGGTAATGGGGGTCAATGTGAGCAAAGTATAATACACCATTGTGAAAATGTCATTAGGCCCATTATTTTGTGTGAAATCATAAAAAAATAATAGAAGTGTATTTAGCATTTCACCATGAAACATTTCCTGTATGGTTTGTTTTTTGCTTTTTGTTTCTTTACAGATAGATATTATGGGATTGAGAATATTCCCCTATGTTCCTAAATTAGCATACCTTCTTTTTTGATGTTTTTATCACTGGAGTTTTCAGATTATCACATCCCCTTTCCGGCACACATCTTAGTGACCACTCTGATGTTATCCCACTAATACAGTAAAATTCATTCATGGATTTCTTTTCCTGCCCTTTCTTTTTATATACAGTCTTACTCTGTAGGAGACAAAGTGCTGGAATTCACAGTGTCGCCCAGTCTGGCCTCCAACCTATGGTGTTCCACTTGCTACAGCTTCCTGTGTGCTAATAATATTATAGGAATGCACCTCCAGGCTAGCTTTATTTGTGGTATTTAAGTGTCAAACTAGGGACTGGAGTGATGGCTCAGTAGTTATGGGCACTTGTTACTCCAGCAGAGAATCTGGGTTCAACTCCCAGAACCCACAAAGTGGCTCATGACCACCTGGAACTCCACTTCTAGGGAATCTGGTGTCCTCATCTGACCTCCGAGGACACCAGGCAAATGGTGCGCATATGTACAGGCAGGTATAATACGCACACACACATAAATAAATAAACCTAAGAAAAATTAATAGTAAAATGGTCTTGCATTCCTAGAGTAAAGTGTACTTGTTAATGAATGTTTTTCCATACACTGATTCAAACTGCTAACATTTCATGAGAGGTTTGCATCTATGTTCATGAGAAATACTTGTCTGTAATACTTCTTGTGCTGCTTTATATTTTTAATAGTTTTATTACATCTTTGAGAATTTCATATAATGTGTTTTGATCACATTTACCCTCAACTCCTCCCCTTAACTCTTCCCAAGCCCACCCCTACCTCCCCAACTCTTACCTTTTATTCTGTTAGAGTTTTTATTAATATATATGTACATGGGGCCTTTTGCATGTGTCTGCTGGTATCCAAGAAGGCCAGAAGAAGATGTTGGATCCCCTGTAGCTGGAGTTAGAGATTATGAACAATTTCCTGTTGTGAATGCTTGGATTTGAACTTGGGTCTTCTACAAAAGTAGTACACACTCATAACTGCTGAGCCATCTCTCTAGTACTATTTTTTGGTTTGTTTGTTTTCATAACCCATTGGCTCCAGTTTGGGCTCTCCCAATACTTCTGGCGATGAGGCCATCTACCCGAGCTTGGTCACCTTACCAGTAGCCACAGCCTTAAAAGAAATCATGACTCTTCCTTCCCCAGAAGACATCAACACCTCCATAACACCTCAGTTACAGGTGGGCCCTCAAGAACCCCTTCCTGCTTCATAGTCGAATGTTGACTTTTTTTGGTGCAGGTCTTGGGTGGGCAGCCACAGCTGCTGTGAGTTCATGGACGCAGTAGTCCTGGCGTCTCTTGACGACATTATCTCATTCTTGTCCTCCTCTACCACTGAGTCTTATGTTTCCTCCCCCTCTTCCAGGGATAGCCTTGGGGGTGTGTATGACATAGATGTCCCATTTGTGACTTAGCATCCCATAATCACTTGTTCTCCACACCGTGAATGGTTACAGGTTTCTTAGTTAATCGGCATTCACTGTTCAAACACAGACACTTCTCTGACAGGGTCTGGGAGATACACTAGTCTATGGGTTGAAATATACAAATTTCAAGAATAAGGCCTACTATTTCTATTCAGTAAAATCACCATAGCAGATTTACGTTGGGACCTTTGAGCTCTCCAACCATGGATTCTTGGCCAGATTTGTAGGCCTTAAAACCAATCAGAAAGCAGTTTATCCCTGTAACACATTTTACTATGGTACCCAGGGACATATATAGCCATGGTGATCATTTCTGCAGTTCACAGGGTTCACAGCTAGGGAAGAATATTGAGGAGGTCTTCCTCTCAGCAGCCTGCATAGTACCTTCTAGTACTGTAAATGCTAGCTAGCAGAAAGGAAGCTTCCAGGGCTGCTTCCCATCTCACTACAAGTGTTCTGTGATTTCTCTTCCAGGATACCTCATCAGGCCTTTCTCTGGGCCCAGGGGGATCAAACTCAGGTTGTCAGGCTTGTATGGCAAGCATGTTCACTTGATGAGTCATCTCCTGAGTCCAACCATAAGTCTTGTTATTTAAAAATTATTCAGTTTAGTTTTCCCTGCCTTGCTCTACGCTGCCCAATCAGGCCAAGCCAGTTTCCTTTATTTTTTTTAATTAATTTATTTATTAAAGATTTCTGTCTCTTCCCAGCCACCGCCTCCCATTTCCCTCCCCCTCCCCTAGTTAAGTCCCCCCCTACTCAGCCCGAAAAGCAATCAGGGTTCCCTGTCCTGTGGGAAGTCCAAGGAACCCCCCACCTCCATCCAGGTCTAGTAAGTTGAGCATCCAAACTGCCTAGGCTCCCACAAAGCCAGTACGTGCAGTAGGATCAAAAACCCAGTGCCATTGTTCTTGAGTTCTCAGTAGTCCTCATTTCCGTTATGTTCAGAGAGTCTGGTTTTATCCCAGGCTTTTCCAGACCCAGGCCAGCTGGTCTTGGTGAGTTCCCAGTAGAACATCCCCATTGTCTCAGTGTGTGGGTGCACCCCTCATGGTCCTGAGTTCCTTGCTCGTGCTCTCTCTCCTTCTGCTCCTGATTTGGACCTTGAGAATTCAGTCCTGTGCTCCAATGTGGGTCTCTGTCTCCTTTCATTGCTTGCTGAAGGTTAATATTCAGGAGGATGCCTATATGTTTTTCTTTGGGTTCTCCTTATTTAGCTTCTCTATTAACCAATGTTATTCACAGCATACAGAGGGGATTCCACATCAAGTAGTTTGGCTACATCAGTTTCACCCCTACCTCTCCACCTCCAATTCCTCTCATGTCCACTTCACTCTCACTCAAGTTTATGACCACTCACTATTTTTAGTTGTATTGTTTTTTTTCAAAAGTAAACTGTCTTTTTTCACTTAGATACCAATCCCAATTCCCAATCCGTCCCGTTCTTCCATTCCCTTCACCGTACCATCTACTGCACACCCACCCCCCAATTCTCAGAGGATCCAGCTCACATTGTTTTTGGGAACGTCCAAGAGCATTCTCACTTTATCTAGCCTGAGGAAGGTATCCGTCCAAAGAGAACGGGTTCCCAAAAAGCCAGTACCAGCAGTAGGGATAAATTCTGGTGCCACTGTCAGGGCCCTTTTGTCTTCCTCAGCCGTACAGCTGTGTCCCACATTCACAGGGTCTAATTTGGTAGTAATCTGGTTCCTTCCCTGTCTGGCTGGAGTTGGTGAGCTCCCAGTATCTGAGGTAAACTATTTCAGTGGGTGTCCCCATCGTGGTCTTGACCTCCTTGCTCATATTTCACTTTGCCCTTTGTATGCTTTAAAGATTTGTCTATTTCTGTCCTTAGCTTACATCTCATGTAGGTTATGTATTGTTGAATGATACCTTTTTTTTTGTTTTGAGATACTGTCCCCCTAGTTAACCCAGAATGGTATGGAAGTTCTGATCCCCCTCCCTCACCTTCTTGAGTAGCCTAATGTGATTCCTTATGAGAAGCAAGAGGACAGGCAGTGTAAAGGGGGATCCAGGTGGTAATCAAGATTGAGGTTAAGTGTGCAAACAACCTTAATGAAAAGGTAAGGGAAATAAGGCATTCTTGAGACTCCTGTCTGAGAGCATGGGACATAAAACCCCAGGCCGAAAGTGAAAGAATGAAGGCCATGAGGAAGACAATTAATGATGCGACAGAATGGATGGAGTGTAGTGATTGTTGAAGATGCAGGACTGTCTGGGCCTGAAAATGGATTGTGAGGAGAGAAGATAAACAGAAAAACTCATGATCAGGTTGAACATCTGTGAGACTGTGAAGAGCTTCGTATATGTGGGACTTTGGGAAGGGCACTATATAAGAAGGCCTAGGTGAAAATTGAGAAAGCCATAGGGAAACGAGGAAGTGAAAGCTTAGTCCAACAGTGAGCACAATAGAGAGGAAAGTCCCAGTCACTGAAGATGTAGTTTTCTAAGGACAGAGTAAGTAACCTGGAGATAGGGGACCCAGGTGCTACTCTGACCCCCACTCCTGATCCTAAAGCCATGCAGCATAACTCATACCTGCTGTACCCCGCTGCTTTTCTGACTCCACATGTAACAGTGGGCATGAGACTGGAGCTCCCCGGGGGAAAGAATTTGCCTTCAGAAGGCCTATAGGCCACTTGTACAACTTCTACAACCACTGCTTCTCTACCCAAAGCAGGGATAAAAAGCGTTTCTGCCTCTTCCATGCCACAAATGTCACAGGGCACTGCCTTCTTGTGAGTGTCATGTCTGGCAAGGTAAGGGTCAGGCCTATTCCACATTGCTAACCTTGGTCCTTCCATCCTTCACTTTAGGGAACAGCATGGGCTCTTGCCTGCTGTGATCGCCTCAAAGAAAGAGCAGAGGACAAGGCTGAAGAGGTATCTGGATCAAGGACTGATAAAGAATATGGCTGTTGCCCCTAAATTCTACAAGCATGGCAAGAAGCTGGCTGGTGTAGCAGAAAGCCGCAGTGAGTGTCTTTGGTTAGGGAAGGAACCTGAATTTAGGTGGAGGGAACATGAGTAATTCTGTCAGCATCCCTGTCTTGAGATTGCAGTGGGACTGTTGGTAATTGCTCATCAAACCAATGTTAGGAATTAAATGCTTTGGAGAAATGTCCACATCCCTTGCTTATATTTTCTGTAGGTAGACATTTGTTGCCGAGTGGTAAGTTTGTTACTTTTATCACTGTCTTGCTACTTAGCCCTGAGTGTTCTCCTGCCCCTATTGAATCAGGCTCCACAGTGGCCATTCACTAGAAAAAGAAAGCAACCCCAGAGTTGGGAAAGAGGCATAGTGTGGTAAACCCTCCAAATGGGGCCGGAATATTTGGAAGGATGGTGTCAGTGAGGCTTATGTAAGCTGTGCCTGGTGTTTTACAGATGGGCAGGAGAGCACTGTGCACAAGAGGGAGGCCAGGTCCCACAAAGTTCCACAGGAGGTAAGGAGACTCTGGTGCTTATGGGAGGTGATTCCAGAAGCTCCTCCCCTGACCCTTTGTACTGTGTCCTAAAGTCTTGGGTTCCATCCCCACATCGGCCGTGATTTACCATGTGAGCTCAGGTTTAACTGCATCTTCCTGGATTTTAGTGTGAACTGAAAATTAAAATTAAAGGTAAGCCTCAATGATCTTCAAGGGCTTCAAGTTCTGACATTCTGAGTTGCTGTAGTCATCTGACAACATGTTCATCTCTCCTCTTTTCATGGTAGGCTGGGTACCCAAATTCCTACTATTGTCTCTACTCCGGCAGGGAAGTTCTCAGGGAACTCATATGCCTAGCCAGCAGAGAGAATGGGCAATTCTGCCCCATGTTCCAGTGAAATTGGAGCAGCAACCAACGATTTCTTTTTCCTGGGCACCTCGTGATCCATCTGTCAGGCCCAAAAGGTGAGTTGAATATGGCCCTAAATCCAGCTGTATCCATATTACTCCATGTTAAGCACTGTGGTTGGTGCCATGGGAGATTGGCAAATGAGAAAGGAGAAAGAGGAGAAGGAAGAAGAAATGTAATAGGAGAAGAGGAAGTGTGGAGGAGGAGGAGGCATCACCTCAGAAGGAGGAGTGAAGAGAAGGCACTTCGCCTTGAGAATTCCTAATCTTGAGGGTTCCAATAAGTGATTTCATCTTTCCAAGTCTATGTTTTCTGGTAGCCACTCTGGGACAACAGGCTACGTTCATGACATTGACAAGAGAAGTAGAAGAAGGTGTACCACATAGGAAGCCCTGAATGAGCCTGGGCTGTTGCTCCATATCACAACAGATGGATGTGAGAGAAGATTCGGTTGGAATTTGGGGTCATGATGGGGAATGCTATAGAGGCCTAAAGGAATGCTAAAGTCAATAGAGAAGACTTCCTAGAGAAAGGCCTGGCTTGTCCTTCATTGTGGGTTTCCCCTCTCATTAGCATCTCAGTAGGGGAGAGGGGAGAAAGACAGAGTCACAGAGCTTCCTGGGAAACAGACCTCCTCCACAGACCAGCATCAAGGTGCAGATCTGGTTCAATGTGTATGTTCACTGGCATATATGCATACATTACCCAATCAGCTAAGGTCACATTGAGTTACTGTCCAATGAGTTCAAATGCCTTGCACCCCACGTCTTGTGTGGGTATATAGGGGCAGTATGTCCTGGCAGTGTGTCTGCAGACAAAGGGCAGGAACCAGGCATCTCCCTGGGCTTTGATGCCAAATTAGAGAGTCTGCAGTTAGCTGGGACTCCATTATGAGTCGTCTAGCATTCCAGAGACACAGATCTGCTCATACAGTTAAGGGGGGGGGGCATTAGCAGTTGTCACGGTCCCTGTCTGTTACTGACACCATTTGAACAGAGACTGACTTATCAATTCATAACCACTGTGGACTGGGAAAAAAAGGAAGCAAGAGCCAGTACCTGAAAAAGGAGGGGCTCCCATCTGTAGTAATAAGAGTGGCGGGGCTGCGTTCCCAGCACCCCGGCAGCCTGTCTAGCTTATGCCCCGAAATAACAACACACAAACTGTATTCATTTAATTACTGCTTGGCCCATTCTCTTCTAGGCTAATTCTCACATATTAATTTAGCCCATTTCTAATCATCTGTGTGTAGCACCCCAAGGTGCGCTTACCGGGGAGATTCTAGTCTATGTCCATCCTGGGTCAGAGCTTCATTCCGGGAGTGGGGCATGGCGTCTCTCTCAGGCGTCTTCTCCTGAGAGCAGAGCTGTCGTGACTCTGAGCTCACTTCCTCTTCCTCCCAGCGTTCTGTTCTGTTTACTCCTCCCACCTATCCTCTAACCAATAAAATGGGCCAGGGCAGTTCCTTTATTAGCCAATGACCTTCCTCCATCATTTCCCCTTTTTCGGTTTAAACAAAAAAAAAGGCTTTAACATAGCAAAATTACATATAACAAAACAGTTATCAAGTAAAAGTTACAATAATCTTTATCATAACTAAGGAAAACTATAACTATAACTAACTATTCTTAACTCCATCAAAGACTCCAGAAAGATATATTACCTAAGTAAACAAGAACTAAGAAACTTCAAACTCTAGAAATGACAAAGACATCTCGCTGCCTGGACAGTCACCCAAAGTTCTTTTGTACTGTTGGGGCATCCATCTTCAGCCTTCAGGCCCATGGTATCCAGCAGACATTTCCATAAAGCAGGAAAATTCAAAGTCAGTTCAGTCACTATCTGTTGTGTCCTGCAGAATGTCTTGCAGACTCTTTCAAAATGAATCAGGAACCCCGAAAGATCATTTCACCTTAGGCAAGTTCAGTAGTCCCCTCTCTGCGGGTTCTCTGTGTCCAGTTTATGCAATAGTCCAGGCAAGAGCAGTTTCTTGCCCAAATGGCTATCAAACTCCATAAGGTGCCTCTTCGATGCCCATCTTCCTCTTGAAGTAGATTGGTGCTGCCAGGAGCAGAGTGTCTCATTGTCATGAAAAGTCCTCAGTTATTAAAACATTAAATGTCCTATTCTGTAATATTTGAAAGACATGAAGAATATCTATCTAAACTATATCTCTATATATCTAGAAAATCTAACTAACATGACTACAAGCTTTACTATTATCGATGATTATCCATTAACAACCTATATTTCTTAATTATACAGTACATATTTAAATAAACTACACAATCACGATACCTTAATCAAAATCAGAAACACTTATATATATAACAAAATTGACCTTAAATCTCTATCAATAAAGCAAAATCTATACTAATGCAAATTATTCATACCTATATCATATCCCCCTTTAAATGTAAAAGAACGTTTATAAACCATATTTGGGAACATGGGCGCAGTTTTTTCTCTCCAAACTGCTTCCTGCTGAATGGGGGCGTCGTTAATTAGGTCTTTCATGGTATAACCTGTGTGCTAGTTTCATCTCAGTTGGCAGTTGAGCGAAGCAATTTTCTGAAGGTGTTCACACCAACCCTTCAGGAGGGCGTGGTCCATCATACCAAATCGGAATAGAAGAAATAAACAGCGTCTCATCCTCTGTGAAAACAAAATAAGAAACTCCTTTCCAAAGTATCATGTCCTTAGATCCAAATTTCAAAGCCAAGGCATCAAAACATCCATGTTGGATTAGCTCAGCAGCATCTACAAATAAATATCTTTTAGCAGCTGTTGGTCCTTCCTCAGCATTCAAACGATTCAAAGAGAGCATAATAGCATACAGTATCAAAATTCTCTGTATATTTTCCATCTTTGTGCAGCTTTGTTTTAACCTCTATTTTGTTTATTTTTACTTTTAACTCTTTGCTTTTTGAGACAGGTTCTCTGTATCTTTGACCTGAAGTAACTCTGTAGACCACGCTGTCTTAGAACTCTCAGAGATCCGCCTGTCTCTGCCTCCCAGGCATTGGGATTAAAGGTGTTTGCTACTACACCTTGAACTCACAGAGATCTGTTTGCCTCTGCCTTCTAGGCACTGGGATTAAAGGCGTGTGCTACCACACACAACAACTCTCTTCCTTTTTTTGTTTTTTACTTTTAAGAACTTTAAATTTTAGTCTGCATATATTTTTAACACACTTTAAACCATTCAGAAATTTTCTCTGTCTTTGAATCTCTCTTTACTGTATATCTCTCTTTTTCTGACCACATGAATCTTTAATTTACCAAGCAAGCTCAGTAGGACTAAAGGCGTGGCTTTGCCAGCTAGATCCAGTCCATTCCTTAGCTTTCCAGCCTCATGGCTGAGGTACTGGCTGTAGGCATGAACCGCCTGCGTAAAAGAGTCAGAGTTTGCCCTGGCAGGACAGCCCAGAAAGCTGGCATTTTTAAACGGCGCAGCTTTTTTCCTGCTATGGCTAAAAACTGAAAAGCATGTGTTCAGCTTTTCGTCAACACCGTTTAAGTGTTTCGTGGCAGAACCTCTTAATGAGCTGCAGGCTTTGCAGCTAAAGCTGAGTCAGGAAGCCTCTCTTAGATGCGGCGCTTGCTTGCCTCTAGCAAGCAGAGTAGAACCGAGAAATTGCTGCTACCAAGAAACCAGGCACAATGCTTTCATTTTGTTCTAGAATTACTTCCCAAGCTGTCTCAGGCTTTATGTGGAAGCAGTTGTCCCTTCGTGGTTGCCATATGTAATAATAAGGTTGCCATATGTAATAATAATAAACTCTTATTACTACACCCATCTTTCTGGCGGCTGTGCAGATTAGAGCATAGTCTCTTTGGGTTCTTTGTCATCTTCATTGCAGCACAGGGAAGAAAGATTTGGTAGAAGTTAGCATGTCAAGAAAAATATAGACGTTTTAAAAGGAAACAGGCCAAGAAGGTGGCTGGTTGAAAAGGACAAACATCTTGGAATCGTTCAGATTTCCCCAGCCTGGTTTGAAAACCCCTGGTCTGCCAAGTGTTCCAGTAGTAGGTTTCCACCAGAGGGTTTCATCCCCTGGCCTCTCCTCTCCTTGTTTCTAGATTTTCAAGTGCGACCCTGCAACCCAGTGCTACCCCTGGCCCTCTTCTTCTGCAGCCACAGGTCCTGGCAAAGTAGTGGGGTCCAGGTCCCTGGGAGGGAATGAGCTTAGTGAATGGGAAGAGCAAAAAAGCCTAGGGTGGGGGTGGGTGCTGGATGGAACTGGATACTTAAAGGGGCACCTGTGTTAGTGAGAGGAGGTGTGGTTTCCCAGATGCCATTATCTGATGCCATTTCCTTTGCAGGTCCCTAATGCCACCAAGCAGGATTCTGTTGTTGCTCTCTTAGAGTGGCAGAGGAAGCTGGAGGCTGCAGGGCCAACTCTCAGGATCCTTGTGATTCTGCCTCTCTGCAACATCGTGGCAGCATGCCAGGTAGCTGTCTTCTTCAAGATGGAGCCTGGGGTAGGGGTTGTTGGGAAATTGGAAGGGTTGTGGTGAACTGGTTGTGGTAATATGTGGAAACCTGGATTTGGACCTTCTGGATCAGGCATTTCAGATGCTCAGTCCAAGGTGGGAGATGGAAATCAGGGGCTTCTCGGTGAATCACCAGTTCTGAAGTGCTTTTGCTCAACAGCAAATGGCCTGACATGAAGTAAAAACAAAACCACCAGCACCACAGTGGCAACAAAATGTCCCTGTAGACTGAGCCCCCGTCCAAGGTGGCCAAGTCTTATTGGAGTCCAAGGGCATGTCAAGGGAAGGAATAGAACTAGGTGTAATAACTCGCAGCCCATGGCAATATCTTCAGTCCACTGGAGACCGAGGAAGACTGGGAAGACATGTATGGAGGATAAGGGTCTGCAATGGAACGAGATCATGCTGGCGTCTTCAAGGCATTTCCCTTGTAGCTTGGATGCTTTCCAGTTAGAATGTTTCCCGACATGCTCACTGCTCCATGTGGTCACTGCTCAGAGGAAAATGGCATAGTTGGGAGGCTGGACGGGAAGGCTGAGCCCCAATGAGAAGCCTAAATAAAAACCCTGATGAAGTGTGTTAGTGGGAAGCCACTTTGGGTGGTGGGCATCAAAGAACAAAGGACAGTGAAGGAAGCTGGAGACCTAGCTTCTCACAGAGGTCTGGCAGAGTGGGTGATGCAGGCTGGGTCAGAAAATATGGGGGAGGGGTGTGAAGAGACAGTACATCTCTGAGAAGGGGAGAATCCTATCTGAAGACCTCAGGATTGACAAAAATAATGGTGACCCTGACTGAGAAACGCTAGAGCCAGGATCAGAGATATGGGGGGTGTTTGTTTCTGGTTTCAGTGACAAATCATAGATTCGGTGTGGCACCAAAGTGTGTGGGCTTACTGCGTGGAGACGTATGTAACCTGACTCTGACTTTTCCTTTTATTTTCAGGTAGTGATGGAGAGAGAGGACCACAGTCTCCTAGTTCCTGCCTGCCACCAAAGCCTGCCAGCTCTGTCTCACTTTCTGGACATCTGGAGTGCATGTCCTACTTGACCTGAGAGCCGGGAGTAGGAGGCCTCTCTAGAGCACTGCCTGTGTGGTATCCTGTTTCATGTCTAAAATGACTAACATTTGTAAATTGTTTATTTTTTTTTTTTTTTTTTTTTTTTTTTTTTTTTTGGTTTTTCGAGACAGGGTTTCTCTGTGGCTTTGGAGCCTGTCCTGGAATTAGCTCTGTAGACCAGGCTGGCCTCGAACTCACAGAGATCCGCCTACCTCTGCCTCCCGAGTGCTGGGATTAAAGGCGTGCGCCACCACCGCCCGGCTAAATTGTTTATTTTTGAAACAAGTTCTCATGTAGCCAGCCTGGCCTCGGATTCAGTATATAGTTGACAATGACTTTGAACTCCCAATCCTTCTGCCTCCACCTCCCAAGTGCTGGGACTACAGGCATGTACCACCATGCCTGCCTTTTTAAAATTATTATTTTAAGTGTTAAAGAATTTTATAAACTTTCAGGCCTTTTTATGATATAGGGAGTCTACTTGACTGAAGATCGATGTTGAACTATATCCATTATTTCTTTGGAATAATGGTTTTTTATGATTCTTAGAAAACCAGTATTTTGTGATCCAATGTGATCGATCAATGGGATTCTTAGTGGGTTTGCATCTCAGCGTTTTTATTTGTCCTGTGATTGTATATGCACTGGCACACGCCTGTTTGTAATCATCCATGTGGAATCCTGAAGATTTGTCACTGTGTCTAGGCATATGTGTGTGTGAAAAAATAATAATAAACATGATGTAGGCACTGAACAACACGAACTCTTTTTAAATAGAGTCAGAAAATACCACAGAGGATTGTTTACCTACACCAAGCCCCAAGTGAGCAAATACTTTAGTTTTTTAAATTAATTATTGAGTGAAAAGTTCAAAACTTGATGCAGCAGACATCAGTCACATGGCTTTCCCAAAAATGGCCACAATAATTCATTATCTAGAGTAACCCATCGGGTAATTATTAGGAATTATAGGAACACTTTTAAAGCCTGAATATTCTGAATCTTTGATTGATTTTCCAAACACATGCACTGCAGGCCTCACCAGGCCATGGCTTGCATAGAGGACAAGCCCACACTGGGGCATTGTGATTTCTAGTGTCCAGGTTGCTAGCAGATAGGGTCCAACCTCAGAGCAGGTGTTGTGCCATATTGTGCCACATGACCATTTAGGCCACACGTGATAGAGCCCTGTGGTTGGCTTCCCTTGTTCCCATTCCTGTGACCTTAGGGCAGCTGCTAAGGCCTGGGCCTGTAGATTGTTGTAGCTTTGTCTTTCGGGAAGACTCAGTGATTCCTCTCAGGCATTAAAAACTTTAAAGGGAGGGGGACTTGATCGGGGGAGGGGGAGGGTAATGGGAAGCGGTTGTGGGGACGAGGCAGAAATCCTTAATAAATAAATAAATTTAAAAAAAAAACTTTAAAGGCCATTTTCACCAATTCCTATATAAGAGTTTGGGGATCATCATCAACCTTTTTTTTAAAAACTCTCTCCCAATATCTAGTACTGACTGAGGAAGCAGACTAATTAGTAGAAAAGGAACCTAGCTGCTTTTCTACCTGAGAGAGATTTGGAAGAGAAAAGGGAGTATGGGAGGGGCTAGCCCAGTGCACAGAAGGCAGCCAGGAGTGGAGCAGTGAGGTAGGAGGGGGAGGGGAAGGTGGAAGTTGACCTTTGACCTCCAAATTGGGAAGAGAGGGGAAAGAATGTTGCTACACAGGAGGGGGTTGGGAAGTGTGGGCTTGAAGAAGTGGAGGAGGGGCCAGTGCCTCTGGTGCTGTGAGACACTGGCTACTAAGTTGGGGGCAAGAGCACAGAGCCCAAAAACCATGGACATATATAGGTAAGCTCTGTTCATTTGTATCAGACAGGATCAGTTTAAAAAGATTTTTGTAAGAGGCTTACAGGGGCAAGAGAGGAACTGGCTTTAAACTCTAAGTGCCCACTTTAGAGTCTATGCCCAACTATGTGGCCTAGGTCCATTTTGGCAAGTCCACCAAGATGGCTCTTAGGTCCAAAAGGGGGTGCAGAGATTGGATGCCCTGAGTCCCGATACAAACAGATCTCCTCCTCAGGAAAGCACAGTCAAGCAGAAGTGACCACAACCTGGGACTCGAATTCCTGGTATAAGCTCACGACTTCAGCAGGAATCCAAAAACGACAAAAATAAGTACGAATGGGTCCCCCAAAACCCTATAGCATAGAAAAGAAAAGGGATTCACCAAGACACACCCACTGTAGCCCAGAAGCCAGTTTTAAGCATAGCATAGAGATCTCGAAATGTAGACTAGGGGCCTTTCAACACGTGGCCTGCCACATGGATAGGGCCTGCCCTAGTTCGGCAGAACTTCCAAAATATTAGGAATATTTCCTAATGCGAGCTCCCAGCAGATGTAAAATTCCCAATCAAGCCAAATTAAGCAATATCCAGGTTTAATGGGACTTCTGCACTCTTGGGTGGCCCCAACGGGGAACTGGGCAGCCATGGGAATGTGGCCCCCAGGAGGAAGAAAGGGAGACCACGTGTTCCTCTTTTGGGGATCACTTAGATACGCTGGGGAGTGGTCCTAACCCCTCCCTGGAATTTGGAGTCCAGACCAGGCCTTGGGGCTGGGATAGATGAGAAGGGCAGGGGCCTATGCTCCCAACTTGACACTTGGATCCCCCAACTCTGCCTGTTCCTGGGGTGAGATGTTGGCCAGCCAGTGGGAGTGTCCCTGCCATTGAGGCTTATTTGTAGCACCCCACCCTGCCCCCCAAGTCTGCCTTTTTGCCTGTGAGGTCCTGGGAGCCTGGGAAAAGGCCCTGCTCCTGTGCTGAGAGGATCGAGAGGTGAGCCAGTGGCACCTCAGTCACATGATCCAATGAAACTGCTTACAGGCCACCTCCAACTCCCTAAGCTTTTCTGTCCATCCAGCAGGGTGTTGCTTGGCTGCTGACTTTCTTTATCACATTCTAGCCTGCCCCAAGCACCCCTTTTCATCTGTGGCTTCCTTGATCCCACAACTCAGCCTGCTTCAGGGCAGAGGGAATCTGAGAGCCAGCTCCAGTGCTGAGGGGACCTAAGAGAGGGCAGACCAAGAAAAACCCCAAGTACACAGTCAGACACAGCAAAGATTGGACCAAGACTCTGCTGGCCTAATTTGAAGGAAGAGATGGGCAGGCGCCAATGCTAGAAATCCTCCACCAACCTGAGGAGCAACATGATAACACCAGAATCCAATGAACACACAACAGGAACACTTGAACAGCCTAACCCAGAAGAAGTAGAAGAAATCGACTTTAAACCTTATGAAAATGATGGAGACCCTGAAACAGGAAGTGAAAAACTCCCTTTAAGAAATGAAAGAGAAGAAGAAAAAGTTAGAAGAAATTAATAAATCCCTCAAGGATACCCAATGAAACCAAGAAAAAGCAATCAAACAGGTAAAGGAACCAGTTTAAGACTTGAAAACCGAAATACAGGTAACGGAGAAAACACAACTGAAAGATAGTGGGATATGGAAAATCTGGGTAAATGAACTGGAACTACAGAGACAAGTATAACCAACAGAATACAAGAGATAGAAGAAAGAATATCAGGATACAATAGAGGAAATAGACTCATCGATCAAAGAATACAGCAAAAACAACAAAGTCTCTTAACACTTGTGGACACTTTTACAGGATGGATAGAAGCATTTCCGTCTCCAGGGAAACAGCAGGTCTGATGGCTCAGGGTCATGGAGCTCATGTCCGAAGCTCTCAACATATCCTGGTCAATGGGACACATCAAACAATAACTAACCAAGCTCTCCATTGAACTCAGGTTATGTTGGCCCTCCCTTCTTCCCATTGCCCTGACTCGTCTAAGGGCCAGCC